TGAGTTTTGGTCGATCGGATCACAAGTGGACGACGCTAATACAGGTGTAAACGGGGTCTAAAACGTTTTGAGCTTGTCCACTTTCGACCACTTCCAGATGTAGATGAAAACAACGCCCAACTCTCCTCCTACTAACTTAATGCGTAAAGATTATGGTAAGCGCACTAGCCAGGCGGGATTTAAACTTTGTCGACTGGAGACACAAGTTTTACCAAGCACAATGTTCTCTCGCCATTCCTGATTTCTAACACACACTCGCAGTGTTCGTCTGGTCTAGTAGTTATCAGAGCAGAAACGAAAGCTGATGCTCTCCATGTGTTTTTCCGTCGTCTCCGGGCGCATTCATATGTTAATTGTGCAACCTTATTTTGTCCATTAAATTGAAAGATCTGAAAAAAAAACAAATCAGGACAGAAGAGGTCTAAAGTGGACAAAAGAGACGGATTAAAACACCAGGTGTGCACGGGGATGTGTCTCCCTCGTTCACTTGTGACCCGATTGACCAAAACACACATCTAACACATCTAAGTTCAAGATTGTTACCCTTCTTTCTGTTAGTTCAGCGGTTCTTCAGGAGCAACCTTGACTTTTTCCGGTGAGTGGCGTTCCTCACGACTATGTTGGTAGGAGTCCTCCACTAGTGCTTACACACTCCCTCTGGTTCTGTGTTCTGTGAATGACCACCAGCATTATTTGTTACTCTCAATGCACAACATAGACATACCAAGACTGAATGCTGAGCTAATTTGGCTATGAATATTTAGTATTCTGTTAGCAAACTCCCCCTGAAATATGACTTGATGAACAGTTAATGAGGTAAGTTCAAATTCACTTGAGATTTCAAAGTTCTTGTTCAACCTCAGATTCAAACTCATACTCATATACAGCATAAACGTTCCCCTGATATGGTGACCATGGATGTGCATGTCCTTGTGCTGATAAGAGTGGGGTGTGTATTAATGAGAAGAGGATGTGTGCTGCTATCCACCAGCAGGACGTCCCTCCACACACTTCCTGATCAAGAGTTTTCCCCATTTCACTTGGCAGACACTTTGGAAGCTTTCTGTGATGCGCATCCAAACACGTCCCAGTGGTGCTGGCACTGCCATTTCAAAAAAATGCCTAGAGAGGGAATATCAAAGGCATTTCTGAAAAACAACTCTGGTCAGATACAAAACACTGGAACATTCCTTCTTTGTTCAACTCTCATGTTCTGGTTTGCATCGGAGAGACCCCAAGGCCCTTTAAGAGCTTACAAATATACTTTACATTTGAAGAATCAGGCAGATGAGCACTGATTAGATACAAATTTTGCATATATACTGTATTATGTAAAATTATTTTAAAAACGTGATACTTTAACCATTCTATGAAATACTTATGATACCCCAGACATAACATGAATAAATGCAATCCAATTTTTTTAAGTACACTTAATTTGATGAGTTGATTAACTGTATAGTGTGTTATTCGTTGCGTTGGTACCTTTAGGGTTGATATATTTTAAATGTACTAAATTGCAACTTCATTACTACAAATGCATAATTACCAATACATTTAAATGCATGACATACATGTTTCAATGGAAATTACATTAAAGTATATTTTACTTTACCATGAAATGAATTACATAAAAAAAATGTAGTTTACTATAAATTAAATAATTATAAAATTATTTATGAAAATGCACTAAAGGGCTTTTTAAGTAGCTCTTTATTGAACATGCATTTAATATATATAATATTTAATATATTTCATTTTCATTTCAGTTTGAAGAAACGTACAGTATATTCTTTTTTTTTTTAGCATTTCTAATATGTTTTTTTAAAAGTATACATTTTAAAAGTATTCTAAAGTGTACTTTGTCACTAGGGACAGTTGTCTGTTTTCATTTATTATCTTTATTATTTAGAAAGTCAGTTTCAGAATCTCATCATGTAAATATTTCTGGCACATGAATTGAATGTCCAGGAGAATGGGAAAAGGCATATACAGTAAGTTTGATCACATAATGGAGTTGTATCACTATTACTGTAAAAACATACTGAATGTGCACAAATGTATTCTGTAAACCCACTGTAGCGTCTGTGCTGCTCCCATCCCCCTAAAACACACCCACCCTGCTCCGTCTGGCATCTGGGACAAGCCAGACATCTCCCACACAACTGACGTTCCCATTTCAAATTCCAAGGAACAAAAGCGCCTGCCCACAGCCGGCCCAGCCGAGCGAGCGAGCGGCCGGCCCGCAGTGCTCCAGTGGACACCGGGCCCTGGCAGAGAGCCACTCGCGGCACAGACCCAGAGACACGTCCACATGGAGAGACCCCCACCTCTGTAGAGGAATGTGTTAATAATTCACTTCATAAAGATGAAAGGGCCTTTGATATGACAAGGAAGGGGAAAAAACATTAACATGTCTCAAAGTCTCTTTCTAGTGCGCAGTACTTATGCAGTGTTTGAATATTTCTAGTTACTGTTTGCTAAACAATGCTCACAATAGCGCCTTGTTCACACTCAACAAAGTGTAATTCTTACAGTTTATACAGTTTACAGTTTATTCAAGACCTTGCTGTTATTGTGATATTGGATCTTTGTTGGATTTATTAAAAATGTCGTAATATTTTTATTTATTGATTCCCTTTTAGGGATATTTAGATTCACTGGTATTTCATCCAGCGTAGGACTGTCTCCATGAGAAAATGCAAAATTACATGTTTTCTGATTGTTCATATCAGGCTTTTCTTCTCTTCTCTTCTTGTCTCCTCTCTTCTCTTCTGTTTTTATTTTCAATGACATAATTTCCCTGTGCTTTCTGGTTTTCTTTGATTTCATCTGTTTATATAACAATGTTTATTCACCATAATTGCTCAAACTTCCAGTGTGCTCATAAAGGCGGGTTGAAGCAACTTCAGCCATGAGTTTTGCAAAGAACCTCTGGGCTCATTTACATACAGAGAAATGCTGATGTGGGGAATACAATACTGACTAATACGTTTTATTTACGGCTGCATAGCCATGTCAAAAATATAACATCTATTGACATTTGACATGATTGGCCTTTATTTATTTGCTTGTGTATTGCGCCAGCTGCTGGACCAAAGGGGATTATGCGGTTTCTGCACTAATAAAGCGTTCGGTGTCGTTAAATGGCAGCTAAAATGCTAATAACCTTTACGTAAAGAATTCATTTGTTGACTTATTTTTTTGTGTCCAGTTACCTGAGTAGCTGTATTAGGAGTAGCTTATTATAATGGTAGCAAGATGCTGCAAGGTCAAATTAATTTCTTAACAGAACGAAAAAAAAAAACAATCTGCAAAAAAAAAAAAAAACGTAATCTGAAAGAACACACACACACACACACACACACACACACACACACACACACACACACACACACACACACACACACACACACACACACACACACACACACACACACACACACACACACACACACACACACACACACAAATGGGGACATTCCATAGACGTAAACTGTATATTCTCTCCCCTTGCACTAACCCTACCCCTAAAACTACCCATCACAGAAAAATTAATGCATTTAAAAAAAAAAAAAAAAATTTATTTGTATATCAAATTTACAAATTAGGATGTCCCAAAATGGAGGGTTTTTTTTGTGGAGATTTTGGTCTCTTCTGGGAATCTGGGTACACATTTGTCCCCAAAATATAGGTACACACACACGCACGCACACAGACGCGCGGGGGCGCGCGCGCGCCCTTCTGGTACGCCTCCTTCCACTGGCAGAAGGCAGCAGCTGCTGTTATGAATGAAACATTTCATTCTATTCATTGGCGTCACGTCACGTCACTATCAGAGTGTAATTAGAATCACAACTGGATTGAATTGGAACCCTGTCAAAAACGGGCTTTATTCTGCATGTGACTGATTCCTGCAGAGAACTGTGATGTGGAGCTCGTGAGATATCTGAGTTTATCTCTGGAATCAGTGTGTGAGGACATGGACTCACTGCTGCTCAATGACTGCCTCTCGTGATGTCCTCGAGGGTTCCCATGGTGACAGGCTGCATGATACATATGACTGAAATGAAAATATGTGTGAAGGAGATATGCTGGTCATTCTGTTTTGACAAGATCGTAACAGGTTTAATCTTGACATTAAAACCTGACAATTCATGACATTACTATAATGACACAATAGAATATAGAATAGAGTATAGAACAACAGAATAGAACAGAAGAATGTAAAAAATTATGATGAGCATATAATAAAAAGTTGTTGATTAATACTTTAGTCCCCAGCTGGAACTTGCTTAAGATCGCCTGGGTTGTGCTGCTTAAAGGAATCACTGGTTAAAGGGATAGTTCACCGAAAAATGACAATTCTGTTATTAATTACTCACCCTCATGTCGTTCCAAACCCCTTAAGACCTTCGTTAATCTTCAGAACACAAGTGAAGATCTTCTTAATGAAATCTGAGAGTTTTCTGTCCCTCCGTTGACAGTCTACGCAACTACCACTTTCAAGCCCCAGAAAGGTAAATACTTCATTAAAGTAATCCATGAGACTAAGTGTTTAACCTCAATTTATGAAGCGTTGTAAGTGCTTTATTTGTGCAACAAACAATAAACATAATATACCACTTTATTTAAAAAATATCAATCTCATGCACGACGCATGCGTACTGTGAGGACGCGAAAACAGGAGCGCGCGTTGGAGGTAAATGAGTCACATGGATTACTTTAATGATGTGTTTACTACCTTTCTGGGGCTTGAAAGTGGTAGTTGCGTAGCTGTCAATGGAGGGACAGAAAGCTCTCAGATTTAATAAAAAATATCTTCATTTGTGTTCCAAAGATTTTTGGATAAACCACCCTTTAAAATAGACTGCTAGAGTGAAGAACGCACAGAAAAAGTCCTGTCTCTACAGCGTGTTGTGAAGTGATCACACACACACACACACACACACACACACACACACACACACAGTGCACTAGTAGTGATGCCAGCAGGCTTCTGCACATGCTCAGTGTGTTCCCCCATCATCTCATCACGCAAAATCAAACGGAGCCGCTGCTCGCGCATCTGCGACACCTGAAGACGCGTTCTCGCCTCTCGCGTCCCCGCAGCGTCTTCTGCGCGTCCGTGCTGTCGCGTCGCGGTTCTCCACGCGAGCGGGTCGAGTCGTGTGTGAATGTGTGTGTAAGCGGACAGTGCTGGAATCAGGAGCCGAGGGACATCATCATGTCGTGGGCACTGGAGGGATTTCTCTGAAAGCTTTTTGATTATGGAGTTCAACACCTCATCCGTATTTGAGCAGCACAAAGGTAAAGCACTGCACACACACACACACACACACACACACACACACACACACACACACACACACACACACACGCACGAGCTGATAACAAGAAGGTGTTGCCATGGTAATGCTGATCAGCGGGGTTTGCCGTAGCCCATCATTTGTTTGTCTTGCCATCTGTTTGTGTGTAGGTATAACCCACCAGAATGAAGAATACTAGCGAAAATGATTATGTTGATTAGTAAAACATGAGGGTGAGGGTCAACATCCAAAAGCTTCATGAGAAACCCCAGGGTTTTCTGTTGTAGTCTGATGAGGTCTCTGTCAGCGGATCCTCCTTTGCAATATACCCAACAAGCTGAGCTCCCTAGACAATAAATATAAGCTCAAAGGAACATGATTGGATTTCTCTGTGGTTGTTAAAGCCGTAATGATTTCTCAGTATATTTCATGTCATCAACGTTGTCTTCAGGTCTCCTTAGGAGTTCATTAATTCTCCAGTTGTTGACAACAGTAAGAGTACTGACTGAGCCATAAAAGCTTAATAAATACAATTTTATTTGGGAGGAATTTGGAGAGAAATGTTTGAATTCATATTGAGATTTCTCACTTTTGATTCCAGGAAACCGAAAAAAAAACCTCCAGTCTATTTAATTTCATTGGTTTTTAGAAGAAACATCAGAGATTCTTTTCAATAGGAAAGTCCATAGCGTCAAACACCTGCTTCTCTCGACTTGTTGATTAATTAGGAGTGGAAATATAATTAGAGCGTACGTTGATTAATCTGAAGCTGTGACAACTTCCCCTTATTCTTCTGGAACTCAGTCCTGAAATGTTCAAGCTCAAATGTGTCAGTACCGCATTTTATTTACACCCAACAGATGTTGTTGAGTGACCCGTTTGATGCGTTTCCCTCTCAGAAGCTGCGGAGGAGGTTGATCTAAATGTGGTGTACCAGGCGGCAGCGAACGGAGACGTCAACACGCTGACCGCCACCATCCGAGAAGACCCCTCCATCCTCGAGTGCTGCGACGGGGAAGGTGTTCTCTCACGCCACACACTGCACTTCCGTCACACACTCAAGATAACTTTCATATTAGTTCTACCCTTGTGAAAAGATGCACACCTAATTGTATTGAATGTGCCCTTGTAGTGTACTTTAAATCTTAAAAGTATATTGTATATTCTAAAGTATTTTTTATATCTCAGAAGTATATTTTACACATGTATATTAAGGACATAAAAGGCCACTTAAGTGTACTTAAAGATGACCTGTTAAGTTTCAGCTCAAAATCCCCCACAGATCATTTATTAAACCATGTTGTAAATGCCCATTTTTGAGTGGAAGGAAAAACATGCTGTTTTCGTGCATGTATCTTTAAATGCAAATTAGCTGCTGCTCCCCGCCCCCTTTTCCAGAAGAGGGCGGAGCCTGTACAGCTCCTGCCTCAGATACTCTGGCAAAAACTAAAACATCTATTTGGTTTTGATTATCGTCTCTATCGCGGTCACGCTCCCTTGACATTGCAGTTCTTCATCATCATGAACGTTTATTATCTGCATGTGTTTTAAAGCCATATCAGTCTAAATGTCTGATATATGGTTTTCTGAGCGCACACATCCGAAGCAGAAAGCTGGATGTCAGACGGAGCGTCCCGCGAGTATTAAACTAAGTTTCTTTCGAGTCAATATTGCACTTAAACTATCAAATACTCACAAGGATATGTCAAAAACACAAAAAGTTCACATAAACAGTCAGTTATGTCTGTGAACGTAAACAGCAAGTAAAGAAATCGCATGTGTATATTAGATCTGTGTATTAAAGCAGCGTAGTATACAGTATCTACTGCTATATATGCTGTTAATATGAATCAAACAGCAAAAGAAAAACTGAAAATCACTCACTGCTCTCGACTGAATAACTTTAGTGGCTTTAATAAGACTATATTTCTTATGTGAATGCTGCTGTTAAATGCTCTGGCGAAGAGATAAACATGGCGGACTGTGTACAGCTCACTGAGGGGCGGAGCTATGCTAATAGGGCGGAGTCCGTCAGCAGTTGTGGGCGGAGCCTGAACAATGTGACATCACGAAAGCTAGAATCTGCTAACGGCTTATTCTGAGCCACTGCATGATTTATAAGGATTAAAAAAGAGGAGTCGGTGTATTTTTACCATTATAAGGGGGTTGTGTACACACTCTGCTGACACACATTTATGTTCAAACACCATGTAAAACTGAATTTTTAAATCATTTTGTTTTAATTATCTTTTGTCATGCTGTGAAGAATTATCACTTATTTTGATGGGTTGACTAACTAAAGCTATCATACTAAAATATGTATTTGATTAAAAGTATTTGATTGTAATTTAAATATGTTATTCAATATTACATTTTAAGTTTATATATTTTAAATCTACTAAATTGCAACTTCATCATTGCAAATATACAATAACAAATATGTTTTCAAAAAGAAATGACAGAGAAGTAATTATGAAATTACATGAATATGTACTCAGTCCTTAAGCAGGTCAAAAAAGCACTCTAAAGTTAGTTTAATATAAATGTAAACTATAATACATTTTCATTTAATTACAATTCCAACATGCAGTTGTGTCCGAAAACATCACATTACGTTTGCAGTTAGGTACTGTATATATTTTAAAGTTTATTATTACAGTAATAAGTTCTCTTTAAAAGGTATGATAAAGTGTACTTTTTTTCACACGGGTTGATACATCACTGTCCTGAAACTAAAGGCTGTGGTATTTCAGATGCAAGTTGACCATTGTGATTGTGTTATTAGTGGTGTTTGACAAGGCAACTATCATGTTGCTCATACTGTAGTTAGGGTTACCAATTTGAACAAAACCCTCAGCCTTTGTATTAAACTTTGACGCATAATTTGTTAATGCTGCTCATATGAGATACGTCAAATTATGCAGAATGTTGAGGAGAGCTGTGCTTTACATTTGTGCAATATTTAGAAACATGTACGTGATTGAGGGTGGGATGTTTTGCTGTGCCAAGCAACCACCATCTGGCAGCCACCCACAAGCCTAATTAGGAAAAAATATTTCATGAGAGCATTCATCACTCAGAATTTGAAAACCTCTGATGATTGTCATACAATCAATCACACATATTTCTGAGACAGAAATAATCCATCATCATAAACAGATTAGAGTAGGGCTAACCTACATTGAAGTTTTGATGAGAACTGCTGTTAAGGTCTGTGTTTGTTGATGACAGGCTCCACGCCGCTGATGCATGCTGTGTCTGGGAGACAGGTGGATACGGTCAAACTGCTGCTGAAGATGGGAGCTTCTATCAATACACAAGACGCCTGTGGACGGACCTCCCTCTCTCTAGCCACATACCTTGTACGAAAACACTCTCAGGGTCCACTTCCTTTAAAGAGGCCATATTATGCCCTGTTACAAAGTTTTGATTTTGTTTTTAGGCTCTACTAGAATATGTGTTCATGCTTGAATGTTCAGAAAACACATTATTTTCCCCATGTCTGACATTGTTGCAGCTCCTCTTTCCCGGATGTGTTTCCCGAAAGCGTCGTTAGCCAAATATGTTCCGTCGTTATCAGCATAGTTCAACGAGTCTGTGTTTCCCGAAACTATAGTTCTAATGAATATTCGCAAGCAGCATCGCACAGTTGTGTGTTTGGAACGGCAGATCTCGACCTGTGTTTAGAAGCAGAGTTTCTTGTTTGCATGACATTTGGACTCATTAAATCCTTATCTTGAGTAAAATAAGCGAGCTGACATTCAGTACAATCTATATCTTTTATTTCCAATACATACAAATGTCATTTACGTCTTTTAGTTTGTCAAGAGATTTAAAGCTGCGTTTTTGAAGAGTGCGCATGTGTGAACGTTCTCTAGTACATAAGAACGAGCCTATGATTGAATCTGGAAATAAAGCAAAATAACTGAAAAATTAGAAATAGTCTTCAGATGGCATATCCATAATTTATAGCAAAAATATAGTATTAATTAAATCTCAAACAGATTCGTTAAAGTCCCCCTGTAGTCAATAATTTTACCCCTTAAAACTCAACTTTGATCACCAAAATGACATATTTAAAAGTTTTTTCCTTGAAAAAAATGTCTTCATGTCTTAAAATAGCTTGAATGCTCGGTTCTATGAATATGCAAATGAGCCCCGCCTCCACTCACTCACTCAGCTCAGAGATCCACTGGTTGACAATCACACGTTGATCTGATTGGTTACAAGGTAGTGTGTGACGTCAGAAACACCAGCGATTTCAAACCGTGTTTTTGAGACTGTCTTTGGTTCACTGCAGTTTAAAGCAGAAAATACTCAGCAATGCTGTCGACTTATGAATTAACACATGGTTTGTCTTAAAGCATATTAGAAACACCACATAGACATAATAACAACATTAAAACCTTGATTTTCACCACAGAGGGACTTTAAAAGATGTTATTACTTGAACGACAAATTTGCGACAATACAGTTTCGGGAAACAGTCACGACTATCTAGTGATTTCTTCAACGATGCTTCGTACTATGGTAATTAAGCAGCGAGTAACGTCATTGTATGGACGCACCCCTGTTTAGTTCCTGTCTCTATGAAGCCCCTCCTTCTGAAAAGCACAATATGCTCTGATTGGTCGGCTGGAGCAGTGTTTTGTGATTGGTCGAGCACTTTGAGTGTGTTTGGGAAATGTCCCGCCCCTTACCATAACCGCCAGTTTCAACACACTACTAACTAACTCAACCAGGCCCCGCCCCTTTATTCTGCGTATGAATTATTTAAATGAGGAATATTGTGGCTTGTTCGTTACCGGAAGAAAACTCAAGACTACAATGGAGCATTGGAGTTCAGAAACAGTGACAATGATATAGAGAATAACTCCCACTGGAGGGACTTTGTGCTTTAGAATTTAACAGAGCTTTTTTATGCTCAAACAGCAACATTACACAGACTAAAGAAAGATGAACATGGAAAAAAACAAAATAGGTCCTCTTTGATTTTGTCGTGATTTTGTCGTCGATCGATTGCTCCGGTCTGCCTCGCTGTCTTGCTGCCGTGTGGTTTGCGTCTGTAAGCTCTGTATAGCTTTCCGTTTTAAATCTCTATTTACTATCATTCCTTGTTGTTTATATCGCTAAATATATCGTACTCATCAACCAGATATCTGATATTATCTAATTTTGTCTGTCACATCGATCTGACTTCGCTAGCTTTAATCTAAATCACTATCGCTCGCAAAACGCGCTAGCCTTCGGCTAGTCTGCTAATCTACCATCCGTGTTTGCCGTCTTTCTTCTCGCGTGCACTCGCACCTTTTCGAGTCCATCAAACCACTGTGGTGAGTAGGATCAGTCAACAAACACGGTGAGTCATGTCTTCTCCTATTATTGTCACTTGCACTTCATGTCACATGTATAGTATAGCCTTCTCTGTCAGCGCCGAGGGCTTTACATGTGATAAATGCAGGGAGATAGTCGGCTGACGGAGATTTCAGAACTAGGGACACGCATCCAAACTTTAATCGAGGATAGTAAGAATGCAACGGCTTTAGATTCTGCTTTGGATGCGACTAGCTTAGTGAATTCTGTACATTGTTCGGTTCCGGCTGAAGTAGAGCCCGTGCAGCAGGGCAACTGGGTGACCGTGAGACGCTGTAGTCGCTCCGCTCTTCCGTTCCGATAACAACATTAAACAGGTTCTCTCCACTCAGTGACGCACCCACTGAGAATCCTGTTAAAAGTGCCCTAGTTATTGGCGATTCCATTACACAGAACGTGAAAATAGAGACACCAGCCACCATAGTCACATGTTTGCCGGGAGCCAGAGTGTCTGACATCAAAGCAAATTTAAAAGTGCTGGCAAATGTTAAACGTAAATTTTCTAAGATTATTATTCACATTGGCACTAATGATGTTCGACTTCGCCAGTCGGAGATCACTAAAATGAACGTTAAAGAGGTGTGTGAACTCGCAAGTGCAATGTCAGGCACTGTAATTTGCTGGCCCCCTTCCTGTACGCAGGAGTGATGAGATACTTAGTAGACTGTCCTCAATCAATGGCTGGCTGTCTAAGTATTGTCTGCAAAATAATATAGGGTTCATAGACAATTGGAAAAGTTTTTGGGGAAGACCTGACCTGTTAAAAAGAGATGGTATTCATCCCTCTTGGGATGGTGCCGCTCTTCTCTCTAGTAATATGGCACATAGTCTTAGAGCTCAAACATGACAATCTGGGGCTCAGGTCAGGAAGCAGACAGACTGGCTAAACCGACCGTCTGCTAGCTGCCTCGCGTCACAGAGGTCAGATAAATCCCATCACATAGAGCCTCTTTCACCTAGATATCACCATATAGAGCAGTGGTCTCAAACTCGCGGCCCGCGGGCCGTGATATTTTGTGGCCCCCTACTTGACATTAAAGTTTAATGTTAGTGCGGCCCGTCGTTGCGTGTGCCGCGTTTAAAAAAAAAATTATTTATTTGTATCCCTTATGGTCTACCATAGATAGTCTCGTGACAGCTTATGGTGGGTTTGTTGTCAATAGTTGTCAATGACAACCGCAAAGTACAAACATACTGCGCCTGGAAAAAATGAGCGCGTCGCTTCAATTATGAGCGCGCTTGCCGCGCGCCTACATTTGAAATAACGAACTTGAGCGCGCAAAATATGTGAGCGCGATGTGAGCGGCCCCTTGTCGAGCTGCCACCAATCAGGCCACGAGCTACTGGTGGCTCGCGAGCGACGTGTTGGAGAGAGACCCTGCTCTAAAACAATGTGAGAATAATCACTTTGAGCTTGTAATATGTGTCCAACAGGTTGATAAGAAGGTTTGCTTTGATTTGTGCAGTCAGTAATTTGAGACACTATACATGTGTAGAAAGAATTCAATAAGACAGGCAGACATGACTGCAAATATTTGTATTTCAAAAGCAATAATTGTTTTTCTAAGTATAATAAAAGGAAAAACATTCAATATCATTAATGTGTTGTATAAAGAAAATAAAAAGGACATAAGCAAATATAAATATCACAAATATGTGTTATAGACAAAGAAAGTTTGTAAAAATGAACTTCAACTGTCAGAAGGACGGCTCATGAAGAACCAATCATGTACAGAAAGGAATGTTCAAATTAAGAGGAACAGTTCAGAAGAAACGTTAATAATAAAGATTGAGAAGATTGGATCAGTTGTGCTCATTTTTGGGAATACTTGAATACTATTTTTTGTGGAATACTTGATCCGGCCCAGCCTGACCCAGACTCTACCTCCAGCGGCCCCCAGTTAAGTTGAGTTTGAGACCCCTGATATAGAGACTGTGTCTGTTCCCTGAATTAGGAAATACAAAAAACTCCCAAACCCATTTAAGGGTAAAAATTTGATTGATGTTCTACAAATAAAAAACAAATATAATGCAGATGAACAAATGACAAATGATATTCGGGTTGCTGAATATTCGATCCCTTTCTTCAAAAGCACTTATTGTTAATGATATGATTACAGACCATAACCTAGATGTGCTGTGTTTTACAGAAACCTGACTAAAACCAGACGATTACATTACTTTAAATGAGTCCAGCCGATTACTGCTATAAACACGAGGCTCGTTTAAAAGGAATTCCTGTAATTTATAGTTATTACTCAGAAGTCTAGTTTCAAATATAATTCTTTTGAAGTGATGGTGCTTTAAGCTAACATTAAGCTGGCTATTATTAAACCTCTTCTTAAAAAAAAGTTCAGTATGGCGTACCACAAGGCTCAGTACTAGGACCGGTGCTGTTCACCCTGTACATGCTGCCCTTTGGAGATATTATTAGGAAACATGGCATTAGTTTTCACTGTTATGCTGATGATACTCAGCTCTATATTTCTTCGTGCCCTGACGAAACGCACCAATTCACAAAATGAATGGAATGCATAGCTGATATAGAAATTTGGATGACTAGTAATTTCCTACTACTTAATTCTGAAAAAACAGAGTTTCTAATTATTGGCAAAAAACCTCTGCACGTATTAACCCAGAATACTGTCTCTAACACTTGATGGCTGCTCTGTCAAGTCTTCGTCGTCGGTTAGGAATACCATGCTCTTTAATACCAATCTTTCATTTGAAAGCTACGTTTCTAGCATCTGTAAAACCGCATTCTTCCATCTTAAAGATATGTCTAAATTACGATATATGCTTTTAATATAAAATGGGGAACAGTTAAGCTAGCATCTATGCTAATTTAATTAGTCTTTCTGTTTATTCCGAGGTTTACTGAAGTCAGCCGGATCCGGGCCGTATCCAGATCAGATGGTGGACCTGCGCCTGGACACGTCCACAACGCATCACTGAAGTGCCAGCCTCATCAGCCCTGTGAAGGCCTCATGGACACGACAGCCATCGGTACTGATCCTCAACAAACTTGTCTCCATACCGGCTTGATGACTCCAACCTCCAACCAGATGAACTGGATAAATATTCTGAATGTTCTGATCCAATCTGACTTTTGACCTGTAATGCTGCCTGAATCATAATCATACTCTGTTCGTTCGTTGGCCAGAGGAGAACTGAGCGACGGAGTCTGGGTTCTCCCAAGGTTTTTTTCTCCATTCTGTCACTGATGGAGTTTGTTCTTTGCCACTGTTGCCTTGCTTTTGGCTTGCTTAGCTGGGGACATTTAATATTCAACAATTTTATTGATCTGCCTCACTTAGGTGGACGTTGATGCAATTTTCTTCTAGAAACAAACTTTGTTGTATTATTTTCATGTTATCACTGTGAAGCTGCTTTGATACAATCTGTATTGTAAAAAGCGCTATATAAATAAAGGTGACTTGACTTGAAAAATGCACATTTCTGCCTTGTTTGTGTGTGCTGTTGTCAGTGAATTGTGATTCTACAGCATGTTTATGAGCTGTCATGTACAAAGTTGCAGTGACCTTCATTTCTTTGACTGAATGAAATGGTTGCTTATTGTTGTGTATGACTTTTACTGTAATCTGTTGTGGTTTTTAACTTCTGCAGGGTTGGCTGGAAGGCTGTGTGTGTTTGCTTCGGAACGGGGCAAAGCAGAACATTCCCGATAAGAATGGACGCTTGCCAATTCATGCTGCTACTGCTGAAACTGACTTCAGGTAACAAGGAAAATAAATAGAAGTTGTTATTGCAAATAAGTTAATGAAACAAGAGGCCAAAAATCGATTTTCGTAATGTATTCCTTGATTCATCAGTGTACGTTATTCTGAAAAAAAGGTGGAAAATTAAAATTTTCTTCCAAATAATAAGAATTGTCATGATCATGTTGTGTTGTGGTTCATTGTCATGTTCTGTTTATAGTTTTCACTTCCAGTTCTTGTTGATTGTTGGTTGTCATGGTTTCTGATTAGTTCACACCTGTTCCTGGTTCCATTGATTATCATTTATTGTGTATTTAATCAGCTTTTCAGCTGTCATTGTTCTGTAGCTACTGTTAATAGTTAATGTGGTATTGGTGTTTAATTAAAAGTATCTTTATCTTCTTTCTGCGTCACACATCGTTTTTTGGATTTTAAACTACATGGATCGTGAGAATAATGTGCTCCGCCTTTGAAATGAATGCTCGATTTCAGCTGATGTCACCAATCACTTTTAATTTTCATTGATTATCTTGTTCGCATTCTATGATGGAATTAAAATGGTGTATGCAGCATTTATGCAGTTATAAACATGTTTTGTTTGTTTGTTGAAGGCTCATGGCTGTGCTGCTACAGCAGTCAACACTGTGTGAAATCAATCATCAAGACAATGAGGTGAGTCACAGCACTTATAGTGTACTTCAAATCTTAAATATATATATTATTTAAAAAAACTAATTGCAGGTAATTGTCATGAACATCCAGACAAGGTTAGATCCAAACGCAGCGTGAGTTTATTCCCAGGGTAGTCAGACAGGCAAGGGTCACAGACAGCAAACACAGCATAGGAGACAAGGCAATAGTCAGGATCAGAAACCAGGCGAGATGACAGAGGCAGGCGGCAGACGAGACGGAATCCAGGAAACAGGCGATGGGTCAGATACATAGACTGGAACAGACTAGACATTGGAACGCTCAGAAATGTACACAACAGTGAAACAAGACTTAGCCATGAGTGATAGTGAGTGTGGGGTATCAATGAGTGTGGAACTAGATGCAGGTGTGAGAGTGATCAGTGGAAACAGGTGTGCACAATCAGTTCAGGGTGTGTGCGAAAACAGTCCAAGGGAAGCCAGTGCAGAAGTGGAGCGTCCTCTCGTGACACTAGAGGGCAATCCAGCCGAACATCGTCACAGTAATATACTTAAATGAAATAAAAATACCACTTAAGTGTTAAAGAGATTACACTTTTTTTTTTAAACATAATTAAGAACACTTTTAACCCTCTCCGTATCGTGGCAGTCAAAAAGGGATGAATTCTTTTTTATTTCAAAGAAAAGAATGTATTATATTTTAGTTCAATAATGTTTTTTTAATTTAATATTTGGTATTTTTAGGGGATTTTATGGTACTAAGTGATATTTATGCAGTAGTTATACACCATTTATAACCACTTTTTGGGCAAGTACACTTTGGGCTTTGAGTTTGGTCTCTTTTTAAAGACAACATATTGGCTGAAGCTGCATTGTTCAAACCGATTTGTGTATGATATTAAAGGTATGTTATTAGTTTGTTAAAACTGGCGGTTATGGTAAGGGGTGAGACATTTCCCAAACACTCTGGAATAGGTGTGTTCAAGGCAAATACACCTATTTTCATAAAGCCATAAAATTTTAACGTCTATAATAGGCTTCTTTATTTTGATTGTAGGGTGACAAATATTGATGACCTGGATGCATATTGCCGGGATTTGATGAGAGTTACCCAACTTTCACTGTGGTCATACTTATAAGTTTCCATACACTTTCATCTATTTGTAAAAAGCATGGTCATCACTGTATCATGCTGTAATGTCATTTTGGCCTTTAGAGAACAGTAGGGTTGTTGTATTTTTGCGGTTTGTACCAGGACATTTTTTTCATTGTCATCTGGGCCCAGTTGTTCAAAAAGTTTAATCTGGATCAGAATGATCTGGATTTGGAAATTGTGCTATCCAGGATCCGATAATCCATTTTACTTTTGTGCCGGTTTTTCAAAGTAAAATTGGATTGGATCACCTTGATCCAGATACACACTTACATATTTCAATGCTTTTCAGAAAAGTGATGAAAAAACCCCAAAACACTTTAAATAAAATATTATATTTTTGTTTGATATTTATAGCTGTTTGGGGATTATTCTATCGTGCCAAAATCTCTTTTTTTACTTTACAGTTAGGCTACTGAAAGGCTTAATATGTAGCCTAATGTCTATTTCTAATTTATTACTTCAACAGTTAAAATAATCAAGAGCAAAATAAAACAATGTGTGTGTGTGTGTGTGTGTGTGTGTGTGTGTGTGTATATATTACATGATACAAATGTTGTATTTTTTGACCATGCAGTTTTAAGTTAATAATCCTGTTGTTGTTGTTTTTTGGATAAAAAGTATCCCGATCTTACTAAAAAGTTTTATACAACACAAACTGATGATTTGATCCAGATCAAAACCAAGATTGGATTTTGTGATCTAATCTGATTTTCAGCAATGCAGAATTTTCCATATTTGATCCAATCTGATCAGATTAATTTTGAACAACTGATGCTCCATTTGCTACTTTGCAGCCATGAGCACCTGTGTAACCCGCGTAACACTCTGATTGTTGTTTGGCAGGGAATGACAGCTCTTCACTGGGCTTCTTTCCACAACCGGCCAGAGCATGTGCAGGCCCTGCTGCAGAAAGGAGCCGACCCCACACTCGTGGACAAAGACTTTAAAACAGCGCTCCACTGGGCTGTGCAGGTACAAATCATTAACATAACCTTGTAATGGTATATTACCTCAAACTAACTCATACTCTATGTTATAAATAATGTGCTGAGATCTATATTTATACATAATTATATTTATAATTGTAATATCAGAAAAAGGTAGAAAAATTTAATGTTTCATCATGCAATTTAATACTATTTATGTCTTAAATTCATTGTAAACATTGTTTTACATGTACATTTTATATGTGCAAGTTGATTATTAATTTATATGTCTCATTGTTTTATAACTATGTGGCAGAGTGGCAGCCAGTTAATGTGTTCCCTCATTCTTGACCATAATCTGGGCTCCTCTGTGATCAATTATGATGACGAGAATGGGAAGACCTGCGTTCACATCGCCGCCGCTGCAGGATTCAGCGACATCATCTATGAACTGTCTCGAATTCCTGAGACCAACTTGCAAGCTTTAGACGTGGATGAACGGTACAGTAAACATGTTGTGTCATATGTGAATGGAGAGTCACATTAGTTTTTAGGCATGTCTGCGTTCATATGCTATCTTGCTTACCATAGAAAGAACTAAGACAAAACTTGGTTTTGCTAGCAACAGTGTTTAACAGAGAATTTTTGCCATTGATTTGAAGGACATCATTTCACTTTATTTGTGATGAGGCAGAATGAAATTCTAGTAATATATGATAATATTAGGATATATTATGCCCCTTTCCAGTTCATTTCATTTCAGTTTATTTCTAAAGAACATTTAATAACAGCAACAAGGCTGACCAGAGTGCTGTACAATACAAAATAAAAATACCATAATATTACAGATGAAACAAGACATTACAGTGTATTAAAAGCCAACGAAAAGAGATGTGTTTTAAGACTAGATTTGAAAGCAGCCCTAATGTGGTTTGGGATGCTGTTCCATAGACAAATCTCACTTTAAGCAAGTTCTTGGATTTTGGAGTAAGTTTTGAACTTCAGATCTTAGATCATGAGGGATTATAGGGTAAATTAGACAGATAGCTCGGCGTTTGATTATGCAAAGGTTTATAGACAAGTAATAGGAATTTAATTTTAATTCTATAATTAACTGGCGACCAATGTAGGTTTTCCAGAAGGGGAGTGACATGCGTACATTTTTTACATCCTTTCAGAAATCGCGCTGCTGCATTTTTCAAAGTCTTGATTTTGTTTCTGGGGTCTATGCTTGAATGTTTATACATATTTGACTTTGTTCCAGCTCGTCTCTTCCCAGTCTGTCAGTAACGCTCTGGGGTGCATTTCCCGTACAACAATGTAACTCGCTGCTTCACTACCATAGTACGAAGCATCGTTGAAGAAATAAACTAGATAGTCACGACTGTTTCCGGAAACCATATTATCGCAAATCGGTCGTTCAACCACGTTGGTTAATGATGTCACACAGGTAGTGGAGTAATAACTACTTTTTTTAACGAATCGTTTGAGATCGAATTAATGCTAGATGTTTTGCTATAAATTTCAGACATGGCACCTGAGGACTGTTTCTCATTTTTCTTAGTTATTTTGATTTTTCTCGTTCTTACACTCTAGACTCTAGAGCACTTTCGCACATGCGCAGTCTTCAAAAACGGCTATTTAAATCTTTTGAGAAACTAAAGGACGTAAATGACATTTGTATGTATTCTAAATAAAAGATACAGATTGTACTGAATGTCAGCTTGCTTATTTTACTCAAGATAAGGATTTATTGAGTCCACATGTCATGCAAACAAGAAACTCTGCTTTCTAACCACAAGTCGAGAGCTGTCGTTCCAAACACACAACTGTGCGATGCGGTTTGCAAATGTTCGTTAGATCTATAGTTTCGGGAAACACAAATTGGTTGAACTATGCTGATAACGACAGAACTTGCAACCATAGTTGCAAGCTAACGACGCTTTCGGGAAACACACCCCTGTTTAGTTCTTGTCTTTATGAAGCCCCTCCTTCTGAAAAGCACACTGTGCTCTGATTGGTCGGCTGGATCAGTGTGTTGTGATTGGTCAAGAGCTTTGTGCGTGTTTGGAAATCTCCCGCCCCTTACCATAACCGCCAGTTTCAACACACTACTAACTAACTCAACCAGGCCACGCCCCTTTATTCTGCAGATGCCTTGGGCGGGAATTATTTAAATGAGGAATATTGTGACGTGTTCGTTCCCGGACGAAAACTCAAGACTACAATGCAGGTGTTTCAGGGAGTTCAGAAACAGTTACTGATATACAGAATAACTCCCGCGGGAGGGACTTTGTGCTTTTCCTGCTCAAAAAGCAACATCACACACTAAAGGAATCTAATTATGGGAGCCTTTAAAATGAATCTAAAAATTAGTAAGCATAGTGCATTTTTACGTCTGAACACTTTTTTCAAAGTTACTTACAGTATACTTAGTTGATAATACTTCACTTTTAGAGCACATTACTGATGGATAACAGCGGCAGTTCCTCAGTGTACTTATCATAATGATGTCACATTCTTAACCATGAGCCCAACACTCCCATGTTCCCTTTTGAGGGAACTCGCGATGCGTTGATGGCGCTCTGGGAACGCCCCTGCGTGATTGCGTCTGAAGCACATGTGTCAACTAGTCCAATGGCGAGATTGAACGTCACGGGCGGGTGACGTGATGACCAGGAAAGGATAAAAGCACATCCGGTTAGAACCGCGCTAGCTTCTGTGCTCTGTGTCAAACTGTCTGTTATATTTATTGTTGTCTGTCATGAAAACCATACAGCTTCATATATATATCTATTATGGTGTGTCCAAACAATCATTCAAGTTGTCTGCTTCTCCCTGCCCTCGTTATCTTACGGCTGGGGATACACACGAACTTTGTGATGTGTTTGGGAGCGGAGCATGCTCTGTCAGCCTTCGAGGGGGCTGACTGTGAGCATTGTGAGAGGCTACCGCTTCGTATGCTCCACTCTCGCCTGTCACTCTTTGAGGAGGGTGTTCAGGTGAGTATTCCCTGCGTTTCGGGCCCTGTGCTGCCTCGCTCTTAGCGTGGGGATCGCAAATGGATCTTACGGTGGGTTTGAGATGGGCCCCGCCCTTTCTCAACCTTTACCCGTGGGATCCAGTGCTCTCTCTCCGGAGTTGGAAGCCCACCCCGCGGTTCCTTCTGCTCAGGAAGAGGCACCGGTGCTTCAGCTGTCTAGTTCCGAGGAACTAGATGTGCTGAGCGTCGTAATGATGGAGCGTATGAGGAGCTGGTGGAGGTATTATCTCATGCTGTGTCAAAGTTGAACATTGAATGGCCAGCCGAGAAGCAAGGCGCTCGTCCCAAAAGCCTATTAGAAGAGTGCTTTCTATCATCTAGTCCAGTACCTCCACCAAGGGGACTTCCATTTTTCCACAACCTACATAAAGAGCTATCAAGGTCGTGGAATAAACCATATTCTTACTGAGTTTTAGCCCTCAAGTTCACGTCTATTCAGATATAGGGAGGCTAAAGGAATATGGTTAGGGGCGATGCCGAAAGTAGAACAACCGCTTGCCAGTTATCTTTCATCAGCATCGGCATCGTCCCTGAAGTCCCCAATGCTGCCCACTAAGCCGATAAAAACATCATCTATGTTAGTGGGTAAAGCATATACGGCAGCAGGTCAGGCCGGGGCATGCCTTCACACTATGGCTATATTACAGGCATACCAGGCTGACCTGCTGAGGGACCTGGAGACTAGCGAGGGGGCAGGGCCTCACGTGGTTCGAGAACTGCTTCGGGCCACCGATCTGTCTCTCCGAGCCACTAAAGTGGCTTCGGAGAGGCACCTTTGGTTAAATTTATCTGATATTAAGGACAAAGATAAATACTTTCTGTTGGCTGCCCCGCTATCGCCTCCTGGCCTCTCCGGTGAAGCAGTTAACACAGTGATAGAGAGGTTTCAGGAGGCGAAAAAGCAAACGGAGGCGTTCAAACGATATCTCCCTCGCCATCAACAGGCCCCTGGGGCTGCTGGGCGTGAGCAGCCCAAGCCGGCAAGCTCCTCATAGCGAGGTGTTGGAGCACATTTGGGGAGTTTAAGGCCAGGCACAGGTGGATCTGTTCGCGTCTCAGGATACGACGCACTGTCCACTTTGGTTTTCTCTCACGCATCCAGCCCCACTGGGTCTGGACGCAATGGTGCAGACGTGGTCGAGGCTACGTCTGTATGCATTTCCCCCGATCGCTCTGCTCCCAGGAGTTCCTGAGAAGGTCCGCCAAGACGGAGTGAGTGTTCTATTAGTAGCTCCGTACTGGCCAAGCTGAGTGTGGTTCTCGAACCTAATATCCCTTCTCGACGGCTCTCACCTGGAGCTGCCGGTCAGGAGGGACCTTCTATCTCAGGTGAGGGGAGTAATCCTCCATCCCCGCCCAGAAACATTCAACCCGTGGTTCTGGCCTCTGAGGAGGCCCGACTCATAGACTCTGGTCTCTCAACCGAGGTTGTAGAGACCATACTGAACTCCAGAGCTCCACAAGAAAGCTATACTCCCTGAAATGGAGTTTTTACCTCTTGGTGTAATCTATGACAATGGAATCCAGTTAATTGCACTGTGGGTTCCTGCAAGATGGTTTTGCTTCAGGGTTATCTCCTTCCACACTGAAGGTTTATGTTGCGGGTATTGCTGCTTACCATACCCCCTTGGGGGGGGGGTTATCTATTGGATTATCTATCCTCTCATTATACATTTTCTTCTTGGCACTCTGAGGCCTGCAGTTCCTACCAGAATTCCAGCTTGGTATCTTTGAGCCTCTCGAGTCTGTTTCAGAAAAATTTCTGACCCTCAAAACTGTGTTCCTTCTAGCCATTTCCTTACTAAAAAGAGTAGGAGATCTCTAGGCCCTGTCGGTATCTCCTTCATGCCTTGAGTTTGCACCCGGGATGGTCAAAGTGTTCCTCTATCCGAAACCCGGTAACGTACCTAAGGTTCCAAACATTGTACCACGGCCTATCGTACTGCAGGCGTTCTGTTCTTCAGTTCCTTAAGGATTTAGACCAGGAGAAACTGAACCTCATCTGTCCAGTCAGAGCACTGGATACTTATGTCCACAGATCTGCCCAGTGGAGAAAGTCTGATCAATTACTGGTATGCTTTGGGCCCCTTAAGAAAGGCCTTCCTGCATCCAAGCAGACGGTTAACAAGTGGATAGTCGAGGCTATCTCTCTTACATATGAGGTTCTGTGCCAGCCTTCACCTTTGGCCACTAGAGCCCATTCTACTAGGGGTGTGGCGGCCTCCAAGGCCCTAATTCCTGGGGTGTCCATTCAAGAAGTTTGTGATGCAGCTGGCTGGTCTTCACCGCTTACGTTTGTCAGATTTTATGACCTAGACATGGATACCCCGGGGTTCTCATGTCATGATGGCGGGTTGACTGTGGCGTTCGGGCATTCTCGTTCCTAAAGCGCCATCGACGCATCGCGAGTTCCCTCAAAAGGGAACATCTCAGGTTGCCATACTTCATACATCCCTGTGATTGACTTGCTTCTGCGTTTTTAGAAGCTAGCGTGGTTCTAACCGGATGTGCTTTTATCCTTTCCTGGTTGTGATGTCACCCGCCCGTGACGTTCACTCTTGCCATTGGACTAGTTGACACATGTGCTTCAGACGCAATCACGCAGGGGCGTTCCCATCGGATCGACGCATCGTCTCGTTCCCTACTCAGGGAACTAGGGTTACAGTCGTAACCTGAGACGTTCTTTATTATTATACAGGATGATTTCTGTTTTTGTGTCAGGACCCCTCTCCACTGGGCCGCCGCAGCAGGTAAAGATGACTGTGTGCAGGTTTTGTTGGAGCTGGGAGTGGAGCCCAACCCTCGAGATATTAACGAGAATACACCACTCACATACGCCATGTACTGTGGACATACTGGATGCATCAAACTCCTCTCCACTGAAAACAGGTTTGTCATTTTGTTTTGTTTTTCAAATTTTGTTCTATTTTGTTGGCAATCAAATAAAAATTGTTGAGTACATACTGACATATCTGTGACTTTTTAAAGGAAGCAATGCCCCCTTATAGTGTCAATAACTGCCCCCC